ATTTTTTGGCTTTAACACCAGAAGCAAAAGCAACAAAAGCAGAAATATGCAAGTGGGACTACATCAGACTAAAAAGCGTCCGCACAGCAGCAGAAACCATCAACAAAACGAAAAGGCAACTGACCAAATGGGAGAAGATATCTGCAAATCATATATTTGGTAAGGAGCTAATATTAAAAAAAAATATATAAAGAATACACACAACTCAATAGCCAAAAAAAAAAAACCAAAAAAAAAAAAAACCAACAAGCAATAGGATCATAAAATGGGCAGAAAATCTGAACATTTTCTCAAGAGGCCATACAGATGGCCAACAGGTAAACAAAAAGGTGCCCAACATCGCCAGGCATCAGGGAAATGCAAATCAAAACCACGATATTACCTCGTACCTGGGAGAATGGCTATTACTAAAAAGGTAAGAAATAGCAAGTCTTGGGGCGCCTGGGTGGCTTAGTCGGTTAAGCGTTTGACTTTCGCTTAGGTCATGATCTCGCGGTTCGTGGGTTCGAGCCCCGCGTCGGGCTCTGTGCTGCCAGCTCAGAGCCTGGAGCCTGTTTCAGCCTGTGACTCCCTTTCTCTCTGACCCTCCCCTGCTCACGCTGTCTCTCTCTCTCCTAGGAAAAAAAAAATTAGCAAGTCTTGGTGAGGATGTGGAGAAAAGGGAGCCCTTGTATACTATTGGTGGGACTGTAAATGGGGGAGCCACTATGGAAAACTGTATAGAAGCTCCTCAAAAAATTAAAAATAAAACTACCAGGGGCACCTGGATGGCTCAGTTGGTTGAGCCTCTGACTTCTGCTTAGGTGGTGATCTCAGGGTTCCTGAGGTTGAGCCCACATCGGGCTTGCTGCTGTCCACTTGTCTGGTGCAGAGCCTGCTTCGGATCCTCTGTCCCCCCTGCTTGCTTGCACTCTCCCCCAAATGAATACATATTTAAAAAAAAAACAGAACTACCATATGATCCAGCAATTCCACTTCTGGGTATTTATCCAAAGGAAACATAAACACTATCTCAGAGATATGTGCACCCCGCCATGTTTCTTTCAGCTAAGACATAGAAGCAACCTAAATGTCTACTCATCATTAAATGGATACAGAAAATGTGGTATAAATACACAATGAAATATTACTCTACCATTAAAGAAAAGAAGGAAATCTTGCCATTGGTGGCAACATACCATGTACCTTGAGGACATTATGCTAGGTGAAATCAGTCAGACAGAGAAAGACGAATGCTGTATCTCATGTATTTGTGGAATCAAAACCAAAAGTAAAAAACAAACCCAACACAGAACTCTTAGATACAGAGAACATATTGGTGGTTGCCAGAGGTGGGTGGGGGGTTGGGCAAAATAAGTGAAGTTGGTCTAAAGTTACAAACTTTCAGTTACAAACTAAGTTCTGGGGGTATAAGGTACAGAATGGTTACCACAGTTAATAATACTCTACTGTATTTTTGAAAAACCTAGTGCTGAATAATGCAGTGGTCCTCACATTAAATTATTTTTCTGACAGAGCGAGCATGCAAGTGCACACAAGTGGTAGAGGGGCAGAGAGAGGAGGAGAGAGAGAATCCCAAGTTAAGCTTCATGCTCAGCATAGAGCCCAACGTGGGGCTCAATCCCATGACTGTGAGATCATGACTTGAGCAGAAATCAAGAGTCAGAGGCTTAACCAACTGAACCACCCAGGCGCCTCAGTCCTCATACTGTAGAACTTAGAATCCCTTTATACTCTCAAAAATTCTTGAGGAACCCAAAGAGCTTCTGTTTATATGAGTTATATCTATTAATGTTTACTGGATAGAAATTAAAACCTGGAAATGTGAATGATTAATGTTAAGAAAATTAATATTAAATTAATTTTTGTCAGGGGCACCTGAGTGAGTCAGTTGGTTAAGTGTCCGACTTTGGCTCAGGTCATGATCTCACAGTTGGTGGGTTCAAGCCCCATGTTGGGTTCTGACAGCTTGGAGTCCAGAGCCTGTTTCAGATTCTGTGTCTCCCTCTCTCTGCCCCTCCCCTGCTTGTGCTCTTCTCTCTTTCTCTCTCTCAAAAATTAAAAAAAAAATTAAAAAAAGAGATAAAATAAAAATATATACCAAGTATCATCCCAGATGGACAAGTATAAATATTCCTATAAACTGGACAAGTATGCCCGCTGTCCAGTAGTCACCAATTATGTATTCGAAGTCTCACCCAGTATAATAAAGCACCTGCCATTTTTTGGAGAGGATATGATTTTTTCTACAGGAAAAAAGAAAAAAAGGCCTGCCTATAAATTACCAGAAGTGAGAGAACAGTTTGGCAAGAGAATGGATAAATAATATACAAAAGTCCATATTTTATACAGCAGCAGCAAAGAGTATACAGATAAAGACAGGTTACCATTTATGATAGTTTCAAACATCTAGGAATAAATTTAACGAGGTGTAAGATTTCTGTGGGGGAATTTATAAAACAGGGAGAGGTATCCCATGTTCGTGGATAGCAAGATTCAATAACATACATAAATTTTTTTCATATTCATCTACAGATTCAAGTTATTTCCCTATCAAATTCCAACAGGGTTTTTCATGTTTAAAGGTAACTTTAAAATATCAGTAAAAGAGTAAAGGGCCAGGATAGCCAGAACACTTCTGAACAAGAGAAAAACAGGTCAGAGGGGAACTTTTCTACCAGACATCACAGATTATTAACAAGTTCTAGTAGGGGCACCCGGGTGGCTCAGTCGGTTAAACGACTGAGCTTGGCTCAGGTCATGATCTCACTGTCTATGAGTTCATGCCCGGCGTCAGGCTCTGTGCTGACAGCTGGGAGCCTGGAGCCTGCTTTGGATTCTGTGTCTCCCTCTCTCTCTGCTCCTCCCCCACTTGCTCTCTGTATCTCTCTCTTAAAATTAAACGTAAAAACATTTTAAAAATTAAAAAAAAAGTTCTAGTAATAAAGCAATGTGACAGAGCAACAGATAGACAAATCGACTAGAAGAGAGAGAAGAACCTAGAAACACACCTGTGCACATATGAACTTTCGTTACATAACCCAAGTAGCATGTAGGGTCAGTGGGGAATAAAGGGAGCTAAAAACATGTTAGTCACGTTCAGAGAGGATGAAACGTGATTCCTGTTTCACACCATGTACAAAAATCAACTCTGGATGGATTAAGGACTTATATGTCAAAACAAAATGTTAAGATACCTACTAGAAACTGTAGATGAATGAATACCTTGTAGACCTTAAGGGTAGGGAGAGATTTCTGAAACAAGACACAAAAAGAACTATTAAAGGAAAGGTTGATGTAATTGTCCATGATAAAATTAAAAACTGTGGCTCAACAAAAAATATCTAAAAGAAGTGAAAGACAAGTTATAAATGGTATGAACATATTTACAGCCTACACAATTGACAAAAGACCAGTATCAAGAATATGTGTGTGTGCCTATGTATAAACACACACACACAAATGCATATATACATATACACAAATGCATATAACCAGGCATACAAAACTCCCTCAAATAAATAAGAATAGCTCTAGTCACTCAATCAAAAAATGGGCAAAAGAAAAAGCCATTTCACAGAAGAGACAACACATGGCCAATAAACATACGAAGATATCCAAAATCTATAAAGAACTAATGTAAGTCAACACTCAAATAATGCAATTAAAAAATGGGCAGAAGACATGAATGGAAATTTCTCCAAAGAAGACATCCATATGGCTAACAGACATATGAACAGATGTTTATCGTCACTTAACACCAGGGAAATGCAAATCAAAACTACAATGAGCTATCACCTCACACCTGTCAGAACGGCTAAAATCAACAACACAAGAAACAACAGGTGTTGGTGAGGATGTTGAGAAAAAGGCACCGTCGTGCACTGCCGGGAATGCACACTGGTGCGGCCACTGTGGTAAACAGTATGGAGTCTGCTCCAAAAGTTAAAAAGAGAACTGCCTTATGATCCAGCGATGGCACTCCTGGGTATTTACCCAAAGAATATTAAGAACGCTAATCCAAAGGGTTACATGTTTACTGCAGCGTTATCTACAACAGCCAAGATATGAAACAGCCCAAGTGTCCACTGACTGATGAACGGATAAAGAAGATGTGGTGTATATATAAACAATGGAAGGGTAGCCACAAAAAGGAATGAAATCTTGCCATTTGCAACAACATGGATGGGGCTAGAAAATATAATGCCGAGAGAAATAAGTTAGTCGGGGAGAAAGACAAATACCATACGATTATGATTTTACTCCTACGTGGACTCTAAGAAACAAAACAGACAAGCAATGGGGGAGAAAAAAGGGAGAAAGAGAAACACACCCCTCACCCCCTGCAAGTTCTCTTGGTGCTGCAGACCTTAGGGACAGCTCTCCAGCCTGGACCCCACGGACAGGGAGCCATGCCGTCTTCGAGCTCCTACTAGAATGTCAACTCTGCTCCCAGACCACTCGTCACCCAGACAGACGGAGCTCCTCATACACGGGCATCAGCGTAGGCACAGGGCCCGGCACACGGCAGGGAGAGAGAGGGCCGCTTGGATTCCTTCTGTATACTTTACAAGGCACCGTCTCTTGTGACAGCTTTTAGATTGATGCTAGTTTTTACAAGGTTGTGTGTGGGGGCGCCTGCGTGGCTCAAGTCGGCTGAGCGTTAGACTTTGGCTCGGGTCATGATCTTGCTCACCTCGGTTCATGGGTTCGAGCCCCACAACAGGCTCTGTGCTGACAGCGTGGAGCCTGCTTGGGATTCTGTCTCCCTCTCTCTCTGCCCCTCCTCTGCTCTTTCTTTCTCTCTCTCAAAAGTAAAGAAACATTAAAAAAAAAAAAAAGGTTGTGTGGGTTTTCCCCTCTGACCTCTGTAACTCCTGAGGACTAGAAATCTGTGCACTGGGCACAGTGCCAGGGCTGTGGCCGTGGCTCATGAAGGACCACAGGGATGAGGCTCAGCAAAACACATGGTGCTCCCTTGCCCCGGAGCCCTCACTCACCGTGTTGAAGTACTCGACGCCGGTGGCTTCAAATGCCCTTGCCACAGCTTGGGTTGTGGCCACGCAGGCTACGGGATGGCCATTGCCAATGGACTTGCCCATGGTGACGATGTCGGGGACAAAGTCTTCTCCTTGCAGCTGGAAGGCCCAGAAGTGCTTGCCCACTCGGCCAAAGCCCACTTGAATCTCGTCTGCGACAAAGACCCCTCCGGCCCTGTGGATGTGCCTGTGGCAGAGGACAGACGGCTGACGGGATCTGCGATACGGAGGATCGGACCATGAGCTGGGGGGTCTTGGACCCTGAACACTGGCTCTGCCAGCACTAAGGTGGGGGCCTCAGGCAGGTGGCTGCATTTCTCAGAGCCACCACTTCTTGAAATTCTGGCCAAGAGGCTACGTTGAGGCTGGGATTTGGAACAAAGGTCGGGAAACCCCTTGACATCCTGGCCCTCCTGGCTACTCACTCTGCCACTTCCTGGAAGAAGCCGGCCGGAGGGATGATCTGGCCTCCCACGCTGGGCAGAGACTCTGCAAAGAATGCTGCAATCTGTGGATGAGACGGACTGCTGGGGACACCACTGCAGAGGCACTGAGCGGCACGCGGAGTGCATCCTGCCCACACCGGCTCAGCACTGGCTCCAGCACAAGTCACCAGCGTGGCTGTGTGGCCATTTTGGGCTCCAGGTCACATCTGGCCTGTGACTGCATTTGCTTATGGTCTGCAAACCAACTCTTTTTGCACAAAGCCCAACACGGGGCTCGAACTCACAAACAGTGAGATCGTGACCTGAGCTGAAGTTGGACGCTTAACCGACCGAGCCACCCAGGCACCCCTGCAAACCAGCTCTTACTCTGTGGAATTCTCCAGACCCCTTGTACTCAGCACATCCCAGGGTTCTCTCCCCCATTGGCCTGTTCCTTCCCTGGCCCTCCTTGGTGACTCCCCTCACCCCCACCGAGAGAAACTCAGCCCCCACCCGTGACCCAGCCTCCGCCTTCATCCATCAGTCAGCACAGCCTCTGCCTCTCCAGTGTCTGTGCATCCGCTCGTCCCCTCCACCTGGACACAGCTGCCTCCTGGCACATCTGTCACTTTCTGCCCTGGCCTCCTGCAGATGCCACCTGGCGGGATGCCTCTGGCAGCCCATCCTCCACCTGCCACCAGGGTGAGCCTCAGCTCATCACCAGATGCACCACTGTCCTGTGTAAAGCTCTTCCGTGACCCCATGACTGACAGCTGTGACTTCCAAGCTATAGTCAGTCCTAGAGCAGCTCCAGAGGCTACCGCCAGGTGAAGGAAGGGCTGATGGGGTAGGAAACCGTCCCTTTTCTGCTCTTATGTGAGTGCGGGCAAAGCATCTGAAACGCGCACGCCCAGCTCCCCGGGTCTAGTCCTGCCAGCCTTTCTGGCTTCATAGCCTGCTGCTCGTTGCCATGTGTCTTGTGTTCAGCTGTCACTGCTGCAGCGAGACCTTCCAGAGAGCCCCCCACCAACAGCTAACTCCCAGCCACGGTCACCGTGGCCACCGCCCTCCCGGTGCGCACTCATCTCTCCTGCCTCTGCCCCTGAACTCTGTGTCTGCTGCCACGTGGGGGCAGGGCCTCCTCATGGCCTCAGGCTGGTCACGTTCAAATGCATCCCCTGGTCTTACCGTTCTCCCTCTCCGGAGCCTCCGAAGGTTTGTTTGCACAGCCCTTGCAGGCCTGTGTTCTGCCTGCTTCTCTAGGCTCATTTCCCACCAGCCCGGCCAGGCCCCACACTGATGTCTGCTTGGGTTGCCTTTCCTCTCCTGCCCCTGCCCACTGAGTGCCAACCCCTCCTCACGGACATCAGGGAGCATCTCCTCCTCCATCACGCCCACACCATCCAGCCCGGGGCCTCTAGGCTCCTGTAACAGCCCGGACACATCTTTCTCTCAACCGTCTGCTGAGCGGTGAACCGCCCTCCTAGATCCCTAAAGCGGGGGCCCCGGTTCCAGTTTCTCCCAGGGTCTCCGGTGTCCAGCACTGGGTTGACAGCAGAGGAAATGCCATCCGCTGTCCGATTCACGGGGCCTGTGCAGGCGCAGTTACCTTCCTGCCCTTTTCCTGTGCGCTGTTCACCACGCGTTCCACCTCGCTGGCATAGGCCCCAGCTGGGTTGGGGTGGTCCTCCCGGTAAAGGCCCCGGTAGGTGTCTGGGAGAGGTGCCTGCGGGGAGCGACAGCGCCGTGTCATCCGGGCTGGGGGGTGAGCACCGACCTGCTGCCCGCCTGGGTGGCGCGTACCACATGGACCCACTCCTTCTGGCCATCCAGGTCTCGGAACTTGTAGGGACTGATGTCGATCAGGGAGCTCAGGTGGCCGTGGTAAGCACTGGGGAGGAGAACGGAGGGGGCTCAGGGGCAGGTACTCCCGACAAACATCTGCCCGCCTCAGGAGGCACAGGGGGGTCCAGCCTTCCCAACGCAGCCCCCAGACCCTGGGGCTGGGGACCAGCACGGGCCTTGGAGCCGGCGAGACTTCCCGTAAGGGGGCTCACTAGCTGGGACGGCGGCTAATCGTCGAAGCTCTCTGGGTTCGGTCCTCTACTCTGAGAAGTGGGGGCGGGGGGCAGGGTCTCCTTCAGAACTGTGATTAGTGCTCTAGCCCTGGGCCTCGTGCACAGCAGATACTAAATACCGTCAGGACAGTTTTCATACCTAAACTGTGGGGCCCATTCTCACCAGCTTACAAAGCATTTTCTGCTCCCAGAAAAGAGGCCCTGGGGGAAAAAGCCCTGTGGTGTCCTATGTAGGGGTGTCTCTATGGCCGGGTCCTCACACTTCCCTCCAGTAGCCCAGGCCTCTCCCCTCCTGCCCCCCGGCACTCAGAGCCAGAGCCTCGCTGATCCCCAGTAAGTGGTGGGCCCAGGCTTCTGCAAATGGCACTCACTGGTCTAACACCACCACGTCCCAATGTCCCGTGTACCGGCGAGCCAGCCTCAGGGCCAGGTCATTGGCTTCCGACCTATGAAAGGAAAGGTAGACACGGCTCAGACTGCTGTTCAAGGGCTTTCCTCCTGGATGCCTGCTTCCTACACACAAGTCCAGAGGAAAAGAGGAACGCTACCAGCAGCAAAATTCTCAGGACACCATTTGTGAGTCATTTGAATTCATTCAGTCAATCAACATTTTATCAAATGTGCTAGGAGCTGGGGCTGGGGCTGGAAATAGTAAGGAAAATAGGTCCTGGTTCTTCTAGAACTTTCTACATTCTAGTAGGTATCATGAAAGCAAAATAAACCAAGAATGATCATTTTGATAAGTGCCCCAAGAGAACCACATAGGGCCTGAATTGTGTCCCCCAAAATTCATATGTTGAGGCCCTGACCCCTACTACCTAAGAATGTGACTATGTAATGTTAAATGAATTAATGTTTATTTTTCAAAGACAGAGACAAAGTGTGAGTAGGGGAGGGGCAAAGAGAGAGAGAGAGAGAGAGAGAGAGAGAGAATCCGAAGGAGGCTCCAGGTTCTGAGCTGTCCGCACAGAACCCGACATGGGCCTCAAACCCATGAACCGTGAGATCATGACCTGAGCCAAAGTCAGACGCTCAACTGACCAAGCCACCCAGGAGCCCCTAAATTTATATAAATTAAAATGAGGCCGTCAGGGTGGGCTCTAATTCAATCTGACTAGTGTCCTTATACAAAGAGGAAACACAGGCACACAGAGACACAAGGGGTGTGGACACCAAGAAGAAAGACCAAGTGAGGAAAGAGCCAGAAGGTGGCCATTCACAAACCAAGGAGAGAGGCCTCAAAGAAGTCACACTTGCTAACACTTTATTCTTGGATTCTGGCATCCAGGAGGAGGAGAAATACATTTCCGTCATTTACGCCTCCCAGCCTATGGCATTCTGTCATGGCAGCCCTGACTCATACAGGGGTCAGGGAAAATGGGTGAGGAGACACCACCAGAACTGAGTCCCCAGGGGGAAGTTTCCAGGCAGAGTGAGCAGCATGTGCAAGGGCCCTGTGCAGGAAAAGTGCTCAGCATGCTCGGGGAACAGAGACCCCACAAGGGAGGCCAAGGCAGCACAGGAGAGGAAGTTGGGAGACACGCAGGGGCCCCACACAGAGGGCCTTGCAAGGCTCCTAGATTTTCTTCTTAGTGCCATGCCAAGCTACTGAAGAGTTTTATTTATTTTTTTTTAATTTGTATTTTACAGTAAAACCTTGGACTGTAACTTGTTCTGTGAGTGTTCTGCAAGATGAGCAAACATTTCTAATAAATTTCTTTTTTTTAAAAATATTTTTATTTATTTCTAGGAGAGAGAGAGAGAGAGACAGCGTGAGCAGGGGAGGGTCAGAGAGAGAGGGAGATACAGACTCTGAAATAGGCTCCAGGCTCTGAGCTGGCAGTCAGCACAGAGCCCGACGTGGGGCTCGAACCCACAAACCGTGAGATCATGACCTAAGCAAAAGTCGGATGCTCAACCGACTAAGCCACCCGGGCGCCCCTAATAAATTTCAACTTGATAAATGAGTGCTATCTTGCAATACAAGTAGTACTGATGCCAGAGGTCACATGATCACAACTGAGCCAATGGCTCTTGAGATTCGCTTTGATATGCAAGTGCTTTGAATTACAGCCATGTTTCTGGAAGGAATTATGTTCGCAAACCAAGGTTTTGCTGTATTTTTTTTTAAGATTTATTTTATGTTTAGAGAGAGAGAATGTGAGCAGGGAGAAGGACAGAGGGAGAGGGAAAGAGAGAATCTCAAGGAGGCTCCACGCTCAGCATGAGGTTTGATATCATGACCCTGGGGTCATGACCTGAGCCTAAATCAAGAGTAGGACACTTAACCGACGGAGCCACCCAGGCGCCCCGCTACCTAAGAGTTTTAATCTGAGAAGGGACGTGCTTCAGCTCCCATCTAGGAGGCAGCTTGTGGCTGTGTGGCTCTAATGCAGTAGAAGGGGAAGAGAGGAGAGCTAGGAGGACACTCAGCTCAGAGCACATGGTGGCAGGGAGAACAGAAAGAGGGACAGAGGCAGAAGACCTGGGGACAGACGAAGCGGGCTTGCTGTAGGATTGGGAGGAGGGTGAGCAGTTCCTGCGTGGAGCAGAGATGCAGACGGTGCTGCCATTTACGAGGCAAGACAGGGTCGGGGTGGCCGAGAGGGGGGTGTGTCGTCCCGGGAATGCCAGGGACAGCCAGTGCCGTGGTCCCACACCAGGTGTTGGCAGACGACAACCAACTCCTTTTGAACACATCAAGTTGGAGATGTTCCAGAAGTCAAGTGGGCGGTTAGAATCTTGGGGCTGGAACACAGGAGAAGCACCTGGACTTGAGACACAAATTGGGGGGTCACAAGCACGTGACCATGGAAAGACTTGGAAACGAATGAGGGAGAGGGCTCAGGACCAGCCCTGAAGAACAGTGGAGGAGCGATGGGCAGGGGAGACCGAGTGGTGGCCAGAGGCAGGTGGAAACCAGGAGGGCGCGCAGCGTCCTGCAGGGGTGACCAGAAAGCACTTCCGGAGAGTGGCGGTGCCGTCGACGTTGCCGAGAGATAGAGTTAGGCAAAAGCAGCAAAGAGACCACTGGATTTGGCAACGTGGAAGTCACTGGAATCCAGAATGCATGTGACGGAGTAAGCCAGCAAATGTCCCTGACCCCACTGCCCAGGAAGCTCTGACTCCTGGACCCGGCTTTCTGCTCTTCCCCATAAGCTCCGGTTCCGCCTTTGTCTCAGAAAGGACCCCAAGCGGGGTTCTTTCTTTGAACTACTGTTTCCTTATCTGAAAAATGACGAAGGGAAATTTTGCATCCTAGAAATTACCAGAGGCGGCGGCTGTGGGGGGGATCTGATGAATGAAAATGACAGTGATTGTCATTTGCCGTTTCTGTCCCTGCTGCCACTCCTAGCGTGAGCTACCATCACCTGTCACCTCGCTGCTGAATTGGTGCTTAATGGGGTCTATTCTTGCTCCTCCCCAGCTCCGATAACGTCACTTGCTAGATTAAAACCCTAAGATGCTCTTAGGATAAAAACAAATTCCTCTTGAGCCCCACGTTGGGCTCAGTGCTGACAGCCTGGAGCCTGCTTCGGATTCTGTCTCCCTTTCTCTCTGCCCCTTCTCCACTCGCGATCTGTCTCTGTCTCTCAAAAATAAACAAACATTAAAGAAATTAAAATAGAAACAAAAAAACCCACAACAAATTCCTCACTTGGAAGGTGTCAGCTCACACGCTCTCTTCTCCCTTTGGCTCCTCAAGTGTGCCAGATCCCATGCCTTTCCTGCCACAGAGCCTTTGCACAGGCTGTGCAACCGTGACATAAACACTTCTGGCGAAGTGGGCAGCTTCCTTACTGCTCATCGCTCTTTGCCTGATACAGAAGCCTTCCCTGATACTCTCTGAGCAGGCGCAGGCTTGGGCCCCTCGCTGCTTCTCTGCTTTATCAGGTCCCTTCCTTTTCTTCCAGACAGTGACCTCTCTTTGCAATTCTGCATTTCTGTGAAGTACCAGTTGATACTTCTGTTCCCTACTGAGCAGCCTGAGGGCAGGGATTTTGGTTATACCCCCAGCTGGGCCTGTGTATTCCTAAGGCAGACAACAATCATGGAGACAATCTTGGAACAGAGATAGTGGCTTACTAAGAGAGCAGAAAACTGGGATCTCACAGAGTCAGCACCTGGGTCTATGGGGGGGGGGGGTAGCGCGGGCACCCGACTCAGCAAGGGCAAGGCAGCCTCGCCCCCAGTCCTTGCTGAGTCAGCCACACTATGTTTCAACAGGTGAACAATTCTGTCTTCACCACCTCATCCTCCTGCTGGGGGCCGGCCGAAGTCCACTCACCCAGAATTCAGGAAGTAAAACACACACAGCTTCTCCGGCAGGGTCTCTGAGAGCCTCTGGGCATAATCCACGATGTTATCGTGCAGGTACCGGCTGTTGGTGTTGAGCACCTGGTTCTGTTCATGCGCTGCTCGGACCACGAGAGGGTGGCAGTGCCCAACTGGAAGAGGGCCACCTCTGTCACACAGCGGCTCTGCTCAGCCGGCCCCACGGGCCTCCCCCCCAGCTCTAGTCCACAAACCCAACCAAAGGAGGGGCGGAGGGAGAGGTGGAGGGGCAAGAGGCGAGTTTGAAGATGGGGTGTGTGTTTGTACGTGACAGAGATGCCAGTTCTGGAAAGGGACACCTAGAAAGGAGTCCCTGGGATTCTGGGTAAAGGAAAAGCTGGCACAAAGCCTATCTAGAAATCCCGTGTCTCTGAGAAGGCTTCTTGAGGCCTGTTTGACAAAGACAGGACATTGGGGGCAGGTGGATGTGCCTGTCGGCAGGCTTCACTTCACTAGTCAATGGGGGCGGGAGGTGAGGTTGATTGCCAACAGCCTGGGATTATAACAGGCACCCTCCAAGCAAATTATCTGAGTTAACTCACTCATTCCTGCAAAACACCTTGAGGTGAGTACCTAGCATTAACATGTCTATTTTGCAGATGGGCAAACTGAGGCACAGAGAATTAAGTCACTTGCCCAAGATCATAGCGTAAGTGGAGGGCAGGGATACGATGAACGCTGATGGTCAGGAACAAAAGCCCCTGTTTTAAATCTCTACCTCATTAACCCCTAGTTGGCTTGTTGGGTCACGGGCTCCTCGTTCCATCAGCTCTGGCGACCCCACCTGGGGATAGCTAGCTGCATTCTGACTTGTTTCCTTGCCTAGAGCCTGAGAAGGTCCCTGGGGCCGAGGCCCTGCCATGATTCCCAATACTTGGCCAGAGGCCTACTGTATTGCTGGTCATGGCCAGGCTGACTGATATTCTCTGAGCTTGCCATCAGTGCCGAGCAGAAGTGGACTTCAGACCTAGGTTTCTGCCTGCTGCCTGAGTTAGCACAGCTACCCTTGGAACCGGCCCCCCAGTACCTACACCAGAAGGAACGGGCTCCTGTGCTCAGCTCAACCTGAGTTCTCTGCGTCTCTCTGCAATCTCAGGATCACCCTGGGACCAGGTTCACGGCCTCCGCCCGCTCCCCTGCCCTGCCAGCCTGAGGATAGGATACTAACCATGAGCCACATTGTTGACACAATCGAGGTATTCGGCACCCTGTTCATCATACAAGTACTGTCCTTGGCCCCGGACAATCTTAATAGGATCCTCAGGATAAAAGAGTCTGCAAGAATCGCTGTGGGGATGGCAACAAGTGGACAGCCATGTCTGAAGACCTGAAGGGACAAGTCCACCCACCATAGAACCTGCCCCCCTCCCCCTTGCCCCGTTTCTGGGAGGGACAAAAGCTTGAAGGGCACAGCAGTGCTTTCCCGCTTCCCTAACCCTAACCCCACCCAGAGGTGGCTGGAAAGGAGGAAAGCGATAGGGTGAGAAGCTGCTAAAACGGAAATGATTTAAGTCATGTGAAGGCTAGGCAGCCTTGCTCATTCCTGCATGTGCCACATTAGTCCCTTGGATCCCAAGGAAACGTGGCTGCCACGGACCCACGGGGGCTCCTTAGAGCAGGGTTTCTTTGCTGGGATATGTGGGAGGGAGGGCACCCTCATCAGGTGGCGGGCGCTCAGCCTTGAACGGTCCCTGCCAGCCCAGTGTCTCTGCTGCCCTGCTGGGTGTCAGCCCCACGTGCCACCAAGAGTCCCTCTCACAGTTTACAGGTAGGCTTTCTCTAAGGCTTCCTGGGAGACGCCCCCCATGCCCACCCTTCATCTGAACTTTCAGTCCCTTTCTAGCCTCCAGGGGGCACAGGCCGGGCAGCGGCGGCCGGTGGGGTCGGCCCGGCGCCGCAGGGCAGCCCGACGGGGACGCAGTCGGGGAGGCGGCCGCGGGGAACCCGTGGGCCCGCAGGCGGCGGCCGGGTCTGCGGGGCCGCGGAGCCGGGAGCCCGCGCGAGGCCCGGGGCTGAGGTTCCGGGGCTCCGCACCGGACGTGCGTGCGTCGTGCGTGCACCGCCCCGCGCCGCCGTCTCGGTACCTTAGCAGCCGCCGCCTCAGGGCCAGAGTCTCGGCCTTCCCTCGCTGATCGGCGGCCATGGCACCGAGCGGGCAGTGGCAAGAAGCGAGACGCAGCGCCGAGAAGCCTCTCACACACTCGGCCGCCAAACCCCGCCCCCGTCGCGGGCCCCGCCCCCGTCGCGGGCCCCGCCCCCGTCGCGGGCCCCGCCCCCGTCGCGGGCCCCGCCCCCGTCGCGGGCCCCGCCCCCGTCTCTTGCTTTTTCCCCGTCGCGGGCCCCGCCCCCGTCCCACGCAGTTTCCCTCTCCGAGAAGAGTTCCTGGGTGACCCCGCTGCTTCGCGTCTCAGCAGGGCTGTAAGCTCTGGGCTCAGTCTCCCAGGTCTCCTTCCTGGTGCATAAAATGGGTTGCCTTGTGAGTTAACACCTAGCCCGGGGCCTGGTTCACGGCAAGGGCCTCAGGGCAGGAGATGAGATTGTCATGCTGGGGTAGGACCAGGAATTCCAGTCTCGTGGACAAGCAGCAGGAGGGAACACAGTCACTGCTGGGACTCTCCAAGGGGGTCCTGGGCATAGGCGTGGCCTTCAGGGAAGCATGACTCCCGCTAGAATCCAGGGAGGGTGAACAGAGGTCTGTCAACCCTGAGAGAATCGTGCAGTGTTTAGGCAGGAAGAGGGTTGGGAGGCCTGTTCAGCCATACAGTGCGCGGCTGGGAAACCCAGGCCCAGGAAGGAAAGGGCCTTTGCTCCCAGACACCCAGCAAGTGTGCAAGAGGCTGGGCTCCGGCTCAGCTCTGTCTGACTCTGACTCTCAGTTCAGTGAATGAGAAGAAATGGCCCCCAAGGGGCTGGGAAGCTGGGCTACCAGAGGCCTAGCCCCAACTGGGGTGGGAGTGGGGGCTGGGACTTTCTGCCTTGACAAACCCAGAACAAGGGACTTAGGTGGAGGCCTGAGCAAGCCGAGGAAGGGGCCTCCGTTCTCCTGTCGTCTTTCATGATTCTCAGCCCTCTGCTTTGCTCCCCTCGTTGCTGATTTCTTCATCTCTTCCCCCCGTGCTGGAAAATGCTTAAAGTATTTATTAAAGAATATTTGCAGTTTCACTTTTTAATTGTGCTATCATATATGTAACATTACCATTGCAACCATTTTTATGTGCACAGCTCAGTGGCGCTAAGTACATTCACATACAGCCGTCACCACCGTCCATCTCCAGAACTTTGTTTCTGTCTTCCCAGACTGAGTTAGAAGGCGGGTTGGTGTGTGTGGTGGGGGGAGTCTGAGAGTCCTGTTTAGGCCCCATCCTTGGCCCTGTTTATAGCCCAAACTGAAGCCTCTCGTGGCCCAGGGCAGCTCAGAGAAGTCAGGTTGGCTCCGGGGACTGTTCCTGCCGGGGGGGTAAAGGTGAGAAGGTTGCAGTTGGGCCTAGCTCACGTCTCATCTACCCCCTGGGGGGTGTCCGGGGTCAGGGGGCAGTACAGCCGCAGGTAAGGCCTGGCTGGTCCATTCCCTGGGCCTAGCCCGTCTCCAGTAGGAGACAATACCAGGTTGGGGCAAGAGCAGGAAGCTTCCCCTTATTCCTGCTCAGAAAAGCCCACTCCTGGGCCGCCTGGGTGGCTCAGTCGGTTAAGCGTCCGACTTCGGCTCAGGTCATGATCTCATGGTTCGTGGGCTCAAGCCCCGCGTTGGGTTCTGTGCTGACAGGTAGCTCAGAGCCTGGGGCCTGCATCAGATTCTGTGTCTCCCTCTCTTTCTGACCGTCCCCTGCTCACTTTGTCTTTCTCTCTCTCAGAAATTAAAAAAAAAAAAAAAAAGAAAAGAAAAAAAAAGAAAAGCCCACTCCTTTTCTCTGCCCCAGGCTCTGTTACCTCACCTATGGGCTTTGAATAGACAGGGCAGGGATGGGAGCAAGTGGCTGAGTCTGGATTTGATCCCAGGAGTGTCCCCCAACCATTGTGACAATCTCAAGCACCCCGTGTATTTCTAGCAGTATCCTGGGGGTAAGGAGGAATGAGGCCTGGGTAAGCCTGCTCCCCTTGAACTTCAACTCGTCTGGAAAAGGGCACAGTAATCGTTGTGATTAGCTTAGCTGCCGTGGTGCACTGCGGGGCTCAGTAAATGTGCTTCCCTCGCTTCAGAAGGGAGTAGTCTGGGGCTAAGCTGACCAGGGACCCCTCCCTCCCACCCCCACTGAGTCTCAGCACATCATTCACTCTTCTATAGTGTTTCACCCCAGCCCAAGCTCTTGGAGGACTCTGTGGGCTCTTGTGTTTTGAGGCTTGTCAAAATTTGCAGACCAGATGAGCCACCGCATGAGGCCACAAGGGGGCAACAGTGGGCCATGAATGGCCTTATCCTGCCAAAGGAGTGTTTTTCTATCCTCGTGAGAATCTGCCTGCCAGTCACCCAGCGTCATGACACTGCCTAGCGGACTCCGTGCCCGGCCAAACAATTTGGAAGGACAAACTGGAGGCTATCCAAGAGCCTGGGTCCAGTCTGCCTGCCACCCACCCTGTCCTGGCCGTGCATCCCTGGGCAGCTGTCCCTCCTGCTCAAGTGCTTCAGTGTCCCCATATGTGAAGTGGAAACAGTGATACCAGTCACAGATACCCTGTCCTTCCCTGGTTAAGGGATCCAGTGAGGCACCCAGGTAGAGGGAGGAGTGGATTACAAACTGTAGAGTCCAGTTGAATTGTGAGGTTTTGCTGGGGCTCCAAAGGATGCCTGGACTCCCAGTGATCTCTCCATCAGTCCTCAGAGCCCCCTGTGTTTCTGTCCCTTTCCACGCTCCCAGCTTCCCCAGTGAGCCACACGACTGGTTAGCCAGCAGCACAGCCCGCCACTCACTGCCAACAACTTAGGGAGACAAAGGTGGGGACTTGATACTTCCCTGCTCTCTCACAGTGCACGGCTGGGCCTCTTCTGCACAGTGAGGAGGCCCCGTAGCATGACCTGGGGGGAACTTCCCATACTGTGGCCTCCTTAGTGTTACCCCTCGGAGGGAGAAGACCTGAGACACTGTCACTGAAGGCCTGTTCTTGTCTGCACTACCCTGGATGTGCCTGGTTTTGTCATCTGTGAAATGGGCACCCCCACTTGGTCGTTATGAGGACCAGTGGCGATGAGGGAAATAGAAACGTTCTGCAAGACTGTGGCGCTGGCTTGGTCTTAGAGTGGAGAGAAGAGAAGGGAATTTAGAACCACATACGCTTCCTGGTGCCTGTCCTGTCCTAGGGGTAAGCATCGCTGTCCCATTTTCCAGAGGAGGTGGTGGATTTGAATTTTCTAAGCTGGCTGCCACAAGATCTACGATCCCACATTTTCTCCTGAAAAGATGATGTGGACGCTTTCCCCCTGAATGAGGGTGAGCCTCTGATTCTGGTAGGAAGTGACGCCATCTGATTTCTGAGACCTGGCTGTAAAAGGTGACATTAGCTGGCCACCTGGTACAACCGGGACATGCACCATGGGGGTCCGGCAGCCGTGCTGTGAGGAAGCCCAGACCACACAGAGGGCTGTCCTGGCCCTCTGAGGTCCCAGCTGACGGCCAGCATGGGCCACCATACGTAGGAGAGCTTGAGTGACAACCACCTCGCTGAGCCCATCACCCCCGGAACTATAAGAGAGACATTGCTGTTGTAAGGCAAGCTTTAGGGTGATCTGTCATGTAACAGTCATGGGCCATTGGATCTGAGGAGCGTATAGGGAGTTTGTGACATGAGTGACTGGATGGAGGGCTCAGCTGGTATGTGGCTGGGCCAGGTCTTGAGTCTGTTTTTCTAACTCCAAACCCTATCTTTTCCCTGACCCTTAACAGCTTCCTCTGGTTGCTGGGGTGGCTCTGACCCAGGGATCATCCCTCGTACTTGCCCAGCCAGCAAAGTCCAGGCTGAAACCTCACCCAGAGGTGCTCGGGGCAGTCTGCAAGAACAGGCACACCCAGACGCACACTGTGGTTTATTACGTGCAGCGATATCCGTCTATACAGAGAAGGGAGGCAAGCAGCTGGGCTGGGGGTGATGGCTGGGAGCCCCTGCCGGAGGTGGGGGAGCCTCTCCTCAGAGCACGGTGGCTGGGGCTGCAGACCCCCTGCTCGGGCTGGCCACGGATCAGCCCTGATGCCCTGTTCGTGTGCACAGCTCATCCGAAGGACCCCTTCTGGCAGGCTGACCGGAGTTCTTCTGGGTGGGAGAGTTGGAGGAGGCCAGAGGATCCTCCAACTCTAAGCTGTGGGCCAGTTTCCTTGGGCTGGCGAAGTCCCATCATGACCCTCTTCTGGGTGCGGCAGCCACTCCAGTCTGGGACCTGCCGTCCTCTTGGGGATCGAGAAGCTCCTTGCAGCTGGGTCCACGGACGGGGGTCTCAGCACCTGACCTGGTGAAGCCAAGTCCCAGAGGGGTCCCAGGGCTCCGGAGCTTCAGGGGGGCAGTCTCTCTGCGAATCAGGTGGCTGAGGGCCCAACCCAGCGTCTCCGCAGCCCCTCCTGGGCCAGGCACTTTCACCTTCGTTTCCTTTCCGGGAGAGCTGAGTCCCACGGCTGCCCCTCAAGTATGCAATTGCCCTGGACTGGCCCCATCCCCCTTCCTGCCAGCTTGATATGCTGACTGTCCCAGGGCTGGGCCAGGCCACGCTCTTAAATGTGACCAGACCACAGGTGGTGCATCCCGTGAAAAAAGATCAATATATTACTGTTCTGTTTTTACAAAAATTAAAAACGTCCACACGCATCTGTACAGGTTGTGAGCTGGGTGCGGGGGTCACTGGAAGAGGAGGGAGAGACTGAAGGTGAGGAGGGAGGCCCCAGAGGCCCCGCCCTGGTCTGAGCACCCTGTCCTGCCCATTTCTTCTAGAATGGGCACACACCCAATCCTCTCACACCTGGCTCTTGGCTTTCACCCCCTCTCAGTGGGGCAGTTTTGGCAAAGTCCCGGGGAGAGGGGGGTGCAGATGGCTTTGAACAGGCCGGGCCAGGTGCCAGGTGAGCCCTGACTGACCAAGAGGGTGGACGGGGCACAGTCACCCAGGACCGCAGCCCCAAGCCTTGGGCCACATGATGGGAGAGTCAAAACTAGGGTCACGTCATCCAGGGGAAACCTGGCGATTCCATCACTGTGTGGGATGTGGCAGATGCC